GAAGTGTTGGACACTATTTTTATCTAGTTGTAAGAATAGCAAGTGTTGCTAATTCAACGAACAATGCAACTCTTCATATCATTTTAAATTTAAGTCATTCTCAATGGTAAGAACATGTCTAAGCATCATTCACAAGATGCTCTGGAGAGGAATAAGGATCCGTAGGTACGATTTTTAATGTATAGTGTAATATATAATAAGTAATGTCTATATAACAAATCGTGTTATCCTGAATATCACTGAGACATGAAGTGGCCTGATGTAGCACATCCAGTCGCCTAGAAGCATCATAAAAGAAAGATTCAGCTGGCTTTTAGGTGAGTCTCCCGTCAAAACTGAATTGGTATGCAAGTGAGTGTATTCCGCCAAGATGTCTACAAATCAAATTATGAGGGCTCAAGGGGTTTCAGTCAGACTGGATATGACCTTACATCCACCAACTCTTAATCATGATTATCACTAGGGACAGCAAAAATAAAGAGCCTTTGACAATACGTTTAAATACAAACAGGCATCGCTTTGTTTTTCACGGGGGCTCAACTGAATCGCTCGATGATGATACTTTTCAATTGGTTGCGCTTGACATAGGCCTTCTGATGTTTTATCTTGCGTGATATTTAAGATACCGCAGTATATTTTCACAAAGTAATCCTCATCATCGTCATCATCATCGACACATGGCATCAAGTGTTCAACACTGATGCTTCACTGCCGTACAACCATGATTTAGTTGAAAGCCTTATTGTAAAGAAAAGAGTAAAGGTGGACGGGGAACGGACTTAGTGTTAGCTTACCACAATCATTCCACAATCATCCAGACACTCACTCAGGCGATCTGGGTAGAAACTGACAACAAGAACGCCACTGACATCGGTTGGTAGCCATGACTTGAAGTTTCTCCAACCAGGCACAGTGAGAATCACGCGGTTCCCATCCTGGAAGGCGAGTATCACCGACAGCACCCAAGCGTTTCGTGATCTCTTTCATACTCCTCTGTCGAGTTAAGTCACAAGAGAAACTATCCAAAAACTGCTGAAAGCTGTTCGTGAGCTCACAACCAGTTTGAATATCCGCGATATCCCAATTATCGTACCAACCGATATATGGGGCAGCCTTTGTGCAGCACATTCAACTGGGGAAAATCACAAACGAGTGATTCAATTGAGTCTTCCGTGAAGACCACTGTGACATATAAATAAGTGTGCCTGTCAAAATCTGCTCAAATTGAGTTCAAATGGAACGGGTGGTGGACACTCAGGTCCGCGCCAATCCCATGGGTCCGAAAATAGGCGAAACCGACCGTGGACTGTGGAAGAGATTTAGCAACTTTGTGAGTAGCTTCCTTTATAAACAGTCGGTCAGCTGCAACACTCCTTCGATGCCCTAGCTTCAATGCCACCCGAAACAAGCCTGAGGGTTGATATACTGCCAAGTGAGCAGGGGTCGAGATCCAGAGATTATATTTGAATCATGGATCTCCCGATCAGTGAGTTTGCGCCACTGAGCTATTTTGAGTGCAATACACACCGTTGCTAAAAGGCATAAAACTATGAGAGATTAGAATCTCATTTAGGAGCCGAAAGAAGACACAACGGTAAGTGATCAGTGCGAAGAAGCCAAACGTCCTAAAGAACGATTACGAACCTGCTGCTCACGCATCTGAAGAGCAATTAAAATAGAAAAGTCTGAACAGCATACCGCAGCAGCAGGCTGACCCGGCTTATGCGGCGAACCTCACCAGACACAGGCTCAGTGCACAGCGACAAGCGAGCTTTAGCCAGGCAGGCCGGATGGGAAGTGACGGCTTGCGCGCCAGTTAGGTAGGTTGCGCGCTACACCATACGGGTTCCCCATCACTTGCAGGCACTTTCACGTGAACCGCAAACAAGTTTGCCTATTCAACCTGGTAGGCAGCCGAGAGCAGGATGAACATGGTTGGGTAGACAGACAGTAAGACAGAGACGACACTGGTGCTTAGTTCTCAGCGTTTGATATGAAGGTTTGAAATCGTATCATAACCAGTGCTCTATTTCTGTAATCAGGCAGGTATATTATCCAGAAAACCTGTTTCACTGCAAGAAATCTTCTGTTTAATTTAACAGCTTTGCAGGCATATTCGATTTCTAAATTCGCCAATGATGACGAGGACGGACGTACTCCGAAAAAATCGACCCAAATAAATAAATACTTTTCTCGCATCTGGAGCTTGGCTATTAGTAATTAATGATCAAGAGTGAGAAAGCTGTAATCGTGACTATTACGCCCATGCATGTCGAGTGCCTACACTTTCTATTTATCGTGTAGACCAGTGAAACGTTCCATAGGTGTTCTTCATTCAAGTTGATCCTGTGGGATTTGTGCGTAACAAATCGACACTGATCGTAAATTCAGTAGATGAAGATCTATTGCATAATGGACCTATATCTGAATGCCTGAAGTGGAACAGGAGTACAGAAAGTCTCAAAAGGGATTCATGCGGACATTCTGCTTGCAGCCGGAAGCTAATTTATTATTGGAGTTTTGTTGTAGGCTTCACCTCTTTTGGAGACCATTCAGTATAGCTCATAGTTGGTCGTAGTGACAACAACTTAGTTCAACTCAGGCAGTTGTTGTTGTGTACTTTGTTACTGAGTCAAGGTTTGGCTACCATGAATCATGGTAGTTAAAAGTCATCCCACTGGTATGCTGAATACCCGCACAGCATTATCATCAAAATTTTTATTTCACTGTAAAAACCACACTTTATTCATCTCCTGTACCAAATCCTGAGTCTACTCCATTTGAACGGACCATGATATAAATTGATTTTCTCCTAAAACACATTTCTGAGACGTCTTTTTCCGAATCTCATATCAGGAAAGTATCTTACCAGGATGATATACCCTGCAAACAAGTTAACAGAATCACAAAAATGCCACATTCTGGCCAGACAGTTAAATCAGATGAGATGCGATACCGTTTGAAAAATTATATACATCTAAGTAGGTCATGAGGAAGTACTCACTCATCCACGCGCTGATGATGTTTTCTTGAATGGTGTCGAGACAACTTCAGACTAATTGTCCAGCTTGGCCAACCGATCATCGACCATGTAATCAATCGCCAAATAAGGAACCTCGTCAGATTTTAAGGGTAAAGCCATGTTTCATTAGACGCCGTTAATTTTTTTGTCTTAGACTCATTTTTTGGCATGGGGGTCCCTGAGAGGCAGGTATGGTGTGGCGTTGGGTTACGCGCACCAACTATTCTTAAGAAATGCGGTGATATTTCGGAGTTCAGTCTGCTTTTGTGCACCTTGTAGTGTCGAATAATGAAAATCACCATTCAGGAACCGAGTTTGTTGACAATTACTTATGCTACGCTCATGCTACGGGTAAGATATACTGAATGGGACTAATGAAACAGGTGGGTTCAGGTCGAACAGGTGAAGTTAGCTAATGAGTTTGCTGAGCGTGCCAACCTTTGTATTACTCCGCAGTTCAGTTACCGCTGCGTGCTTTGAACTTATCCCAGGTGGCGGCTTTCCGTAAAATAAACAAACAAAAGAACGTCACTTTGTACCGCTTGGCCTCAGGCTGGGCCTACCCTAGAAGATACTGCTTGTCTGATCTCACTAACTATTGAGTGACGCGCACTGGTTGGCGGGCTGACTAGCTTGGACGTTTTGCCGTCAGCGCCCTGTAAATTTCACGTGAATCTATTGGCTTTACAGATAACCGGCCGTTTGGAGATGTAGTGACTGAGAAATGCGCTCAAGGTAACGCTGGGCTGCTTCAGTGAAAGCATTTAGTCACCACACTCACATTAAGGAATCTTCATTTTCGAAATGCACTCATTTGCAAACAAATTTTATTTTTGCGAGACTCACCTGGAACCCCAGGTAAATCTCCCGTTTGTGATGTTTTCAGGCAAGTGAATGTGCTGCACCGGGCAGCCTCATGTTCCAGTTGCAACGATATTCAAGATATCGCGATATATGTATATTCGTAATGCACTACTCTTTATTTTTACCTTTTCACTTTAAACAATTTATTGAGATGCCTTGTTTCTTCTAGGAAGACACCTTGTAGGGGATGCTGTGACATGGGTGGGGAATCACCTTAATTGCAAACTTGCTAGAACCAAACGACTCATCAATCAAAAACTGAAATTTATTTCCATCTTAGGACGAGATGACTGTGCTTTGTCTGAAATATTCATAAGCAACTCATCCATACGCATTTTCCCACGATTTTTTTTGTGAATGCGTCCGCGTCACTCATACAAAGTTCAGACAAGAAATAACGCAGACTAGCAAAACTGTTACCGATTTCACTGAACCAGCTTTTCGTCACATCACATCAGAGCTTTCCATGGGAACTTGTTGTCGTCAGGCGACGACCCCCGTCTTTCGCACTCAGACGAAAAATTGTTACTGAATGTCAATTCTTTACCTTTGATCAACTAATGCCTTTCACTTGAACCCAGTATTCACAAAGCAGCCTGAAACAGCAGCTCAAGCAATTAAGTTTGTAGAATTATGCCATTATTCCAGTCCGGGGTGAGAAAAAAAAGTTTAATTAAGTTTCGATGAACAGAAACAAAAGAACTGTTTTTTGTGTGTGCGAACGAGTTCACTCCGATGGTGCACCGAAAACTCGGCTTCATCTATGTTGCAATGTGGAGTGTGGTTTGGTCGGCTTTTGAGAACACATTCACGGAAACAATTACGGGTGGAATAAGTCAATCAAATGTCGAAACAATTGAGATACGCACTTAGGTGGGCCTAGCTAATCCGTGCATGGAATATTCACTTTTCCGGACTGTTTCGGTCGGAAAGTTTGGATACCAGTGGGGATAATGCTGCGTTAATATAATTGAAGACGTAAAGTAAAAAGGAATACTGAAATTTGAACAAATCGCTTGACCAAACTCTTGAACCGCAATCACTATATTTTTGATCATCAGATGAGCCCATGTTTCATTTTTAAACGTCCCGTTAGTGCTGACAAGTAGGACCAATGAAGATATTTTATCGGCTTTTCGTCATTGGACATGGTTTGTTCATCGGAATTCCCCCAGTTTGGCTGACGAAGTATGTCGGGAATTCGATAAGAGTGGTTTTCCGAATTTATATAGCCCGAATCTCGCAGCTTAATTACATGTTCTGTTCTGTTTTAATGAGCCCGCTAGATGTGAGATAAAGTATACCTTATGAAAATCCCTGTGTTTCTCATTGGTCTAGTTGAGTGAAATAAGCGTCTGCTTATACTTTGTTTATGGGTTCTCTACCTAGGTTAATGTTTGTGATGACGCACGGTGGATCCTGATGAACACATCAACCAGTGTTGCTAGCCTAACGAGATATCTCATTCCGTTCTGAGAGACTATATTGCTAATCTCTCATAGAGATTCACTGCTGTCTAGCAGCTGTGGTCACCTCAAAATGCGCACCGCATTCACAGTCGCCAATCCAGTCAACCCAGTTTTTCTCGTAAGCTGCTGACAGCATGCGACATCAATCGCATGGATTCAAGTGTGTACGTGCGCATAGGTGCGTGGATCACTTGACGGTGGAGGTTCGAAAACATTTGGGCTTGAGTTTAACTGACGAAAATCTAATCAGTTCGTGTACATAGTTAGCAATAACGGAAGCGTAACCGAATTTTCTCAAATAAGTTTGAGATTAGTGATAGCCTTGTATTTGTGTGCAAAACTGCGTTCAGTGAACAGATGTTTAGGGGATGTAGCACGGTTTTGAGGGCAATAAGCCATCTTTCTACTCTCTCCAAGTGGATACGCTAATTTAGCGTGTTGCCATACGTCTGTAATAAGTACAGCTGCAGACAGCTGTCTGGGTGAAAGCAATCCAATTATCCAACAGCTTGTTGCAAGTTACCTAGTAATCGGTGGAACATACTAACGGTGACGGTGGTAATTAATGATGCATATGTAAGAACAAAGCGTATGCAGTCATCCCTCTAAATTTTCCGCCATATGAAGACTACACCACTTTCTAGATCATTTTTCAGTCATCCACTTGACATAGGTTTAAGGGGATGGTCTTTTTATATGGAATGGATTTACTCTTGAGCCCACTCGGAAAGGTAAAGAAACCACAGGCAAAGTGCATAGGAAGACAGTGTATGTTAACTACCACTGTCACGAACAAGTAAAGAGACCAGCCGAGATAAAAACCACCTTCGGATGATTTTTTGAATACATTCCAGAGAACTACAAATTCTTTTTTGACCGGATTTTCCGCAGACCGGTTTTAGACATCGGCTCTTGAATATCATCCATACGAAACCTATAGAATAGACAGGCTGGCGATAAGTTAGAACAACTAGCTGAACCGAACAGTAGTTAGAAACGGGGATGTCTTAGAGGACGTTGTGATTTCACCTAGCGAAATCTTTCTGGCCAGCTTTTATTGGGGAATGTGATGCAAAGATGAATTCAGTTGTTTTCGTTAGGAAACACGAAGTCATGTAGTTAGTCAGTCAGCTAGTTAGTTAATTGGTTGGTTAGTTAGTCAGTTAGTCAGTTAGTCAGTTATTTATTCATTTATTTATTTAGTTAATCCTATCGAATAGATATTCAGATGCAGTCATCCAACCGGAATACAGTAAATCATTTGAACTCAAAACGAAAACTACCATTGCTGTGGAAAATCATGTGTAAACATGAACGCCTATCATAGTCCTCCCCGAAGAAATGACCTTTTGTGCTATGATAGCATTCGTTGTGGCCATGTGGCTAAGTGCGACCGAAGAATGGGTCAAAATGTCATCCTGTTGCTTGCACAAAAAGGATCGAAATTCGCCTACCTTTTTCGGAGTTGTTGTCGTAAAATAGTGGTGTTGCGCAACCGAGGAGTGCACTACATATGAGGTGAAAAAATGCTCAACATAATGAAAAAATGTAGTACATCTCCTGTAAAGGTTACATCTTCTGATTCTTTGGGAAATTTTCCGCCTAGTTTTGTTAGTGCAAACCAGAATTTCTGTCCGAAAAACTAACAGCAAGGCTGTTTTAATCTAAATCAGATTGGTATGCTCTTTCACAAACCTCAACAGCTGTGAGATGAGTAATAAACAGAAGTATATGCTTGCTGGATCCAGAGACGTCATATTAATTCCACACCTTATTTCCGTTCACCAAACCATTCTGATTTCCCGCACAACGTTTCAAAATATGCATCTATTTATCCTTGTATATTTATTTTACATGGTATGCCAAGCAAAAAATGGGTAAAAATCCTGTCGTTATTTCGGTTGCAGTTCCGTTTACAAAATACTTGAAAAAAAACACTGAAGTTTTCATTCCCCGTGAGAACACAAGCTTTGGGTAACCACAACTTGAAGTGGATTGAATTAAGCATAGTGGGATACTACGGAAGAACATTAAATTGAAGGTTGCTCAGCACGCTCCGTTTGAAGTGGGCTAAGCAAGATCATCCGCTACCACAAATATGCAGATTCAGTAACATTGTGATAAGAGAGGGGGCATGTGGCTGATACTCATAGGTTTACTTTATACTTTGAGTTGAATAATGGTGTCCAATAGCACTATTGAAATCACCAGACTGGTACTTTCATTATTATTGTGAAGAATTTGACTTGTGGCAATGTGACGTCTGGTGTCCAATATATTATTTATTGAATAAGGTAGTTTACAGTGTGTCGAACACAGATGGGTCACATAGCGGTATATATTGAACCACTTACAGTAAGCGAGAGGAATAAACGGAGAAACTTAAAATTTACTTTCATCTGGTCACTTTTCAACATGACAATAAATTTATTTTTTAAAGCGAAATCAACCTATTGCGGAATCATGCTTTAAGAAGCACAGTTCACACGAAAACTTCAAATAGTTTGTTGAGCAGAACATCAATAAAACATTCGGTAAATCTGAAGAGGGGAAACGTGTATCCATGAGCTGCGACACAACTGAGCGTTTTAGGGAGCACAAATCACCCAAATAGAAGCCTAGCTAAAGAAGAACCCTATTTGTTTCGTAGATTACATGCTCACTAGTGTTGGAGATTGGTCATTACAAAACTGTTTACTGGATGTTCCAAGTTTGGTTTCAAGTATATAAGCGTAGTGCTAACACTTTTTGTCATTTCTGGTCTGCAAGTGTAGGCTAAACCAGGAGAAATTAAATTTTCCTAGTGAGACCTATTGATTAATAGAGAAGTTTGGAAAGGTTTGACCAGTGGTTTTATAAAAAAACATCAATTCGAAACTGCATTACCCATAAGATGCTTGGTTCCTCATCGACAACTTCTGCTCCATCAAGTTATTTCAGTAAATTATACAGAAGTCATGGGACTGTTTTAGTAAACCAAGGAAACGGTGCTGGCATCAGTTACCTATGTGTTTGCTGTGATTTTTGCCACAAATACGCACGAACGTTTTTTAATCACTACGAACCTCGGGGTTTACAAAAAATTCAAAAACATCGCCTTACCAGATACCGACACATTCTGAACTGGCTATACATATGTAGGTCAGCTTTTAGTTATTGGCCACTTCTAAGCTAACTCCTCAGTTTCACTGCATTACCTTTACAGCTTGTTCGGGCCTTCAAGCGGATATTTGTCTGTTTAGAACTCTCGCCTGATGCGTTCACTAATATTTAGATGTCCAGATAGCGTAAATCGGTTATTCGTCTGTTGAAGATTCTTACTCGGGAGCTCCACCAATGAGTTTAAAGTGCCAGTTTACTGTTCCTATATTCGCCAATTTCGTTGGAATATCGTAAATGCTTCCGTTGTAGCTGAGTCCAGCCTGTCTCTCATTTCAGACGGAGCTGAAATTCAGGCACGACGAAGGATATACGTCTGTAAAACTCCAATCCAATCCAGGTCCTTTCATGTGAACTGAGCTTGACACAAATTGCATATTAATCCTAAGGGCTGGATGGGAAACGACCGACAGTTGTCATCAGTAGTCCAGTAATACAAACCGCTCTCTCCTGCCAAATCGTTCATTTCACTTGTCCTCCATACCATTAGGCAATGGTAACCTTTCAGAAATGACACTGACGGATCGGTGCTGTCTATCTATGACTTTGATTCATTCAGGTAAAGCACGTATATTTACATAATACTGTCAACTTCAGTATGTGGCATGAAAAATTAAAAGGTGGTTATTTATAGTCAAAATGAGGGTCACCAAACCACTGTACATGTGATCTCGAAAAAATGTACAGCAAACGAACACAGTTGTGCGTCATTTACGATGTATTTAACACGACCATTTTTTTATTCTCCGTTCCACCACTATATATCTTCTAAAGTACTTTATCAATCTTGGGTGAATGTGGCTATTCACGTCATCCCTTTCCTTGCCAGTGGTTGCTGTGATGGGCTAATTTTTAAGTCAGATTAGGGCTAGTTAACAAAACCAGCTGATTTGTACTTTATCTTGTACATCTTTAGATTAACAATGCAATAAAATAGCTTTATTCATTCAAGTTTTAAGAAGGAGTAGGTAATTCATCCTGAAGACGAACCACATCAATGCCCACATAATTTTACTACCACTGAAATGAAAAAGGTCTCCGCTGCGGAGTTATTTATTAGAAAGTGTCAACTGAACAGTTACAGACTATTGGACATGGAAGCAAACCTCTCATATGCATCTTGTTTAAAAAACGGAATATCCATCTTCTCCTTGAACGCGTCTTCCTGAATTTTCCCGGATATTTATATACCGTTACTAAGTTGCAAGCAAATGCTATGGAGCAACTCCACAAATTCCCTAATACAGGGGATCTCATAATAAACGCAAAAAATAATATCCATGTTAAAACTTCAATATAGATTTAAACACTTATTATTATTTATATAAACATAATGGTTGTTTCACTGCAAGAAATCTTCTGTTTAATTTAACAGCTTTGCAGGCATATTCGATTTCTAAATTCGCCAATGATGACGAGGACGGACGTACTCCGAAAAAATCGACCCAAATAAATAAATACTTTTCTCGCATCTGGAGCTTGGCTATTAGTAATTAATGATCAAGAGTGAGAAAGCTGTAATCGTGACTATTACGCCCATGCATGTCGAGTGCCTACACTTTCTATTTATCGTGTAGACCAGTGAAACGTTCCATAGGTGTTCTTCATTCAAGTTGATCCTGTGGGATTTGTGCGTAACAAATCGACACTGATCGTAAATTCAGTAGATGAAGATCTATTGCATAATGGACCTATATCTGAATGCCTGAAGTGGAACAGGAGTACAGAAAGTCTCAAAAGGGATTCATGCGGACATTCTGCTTGCAGCCGGAAGCTAATTTATTATTGGAGTTTTGTTGTAGGCTTCACCTCTTTTGGAGACCATTCAGTATAGCTCATAGTTGGTCGTAGTGACAACAACTTAGTTCAACTCAGGCAGTTGTTGTTGTGTACTTTGTTACTGAGTCAAGGTTTGGCTACCATGAATCATGGTAGTTAAAAGTCATCCCACTGGTATGCTGAATACCCGCACAGCATTATCATCAAAATTTTTATTTCACTGTAAATACCACACTTTATTCATCTCCTGTACCAAATCCTGAGTCTACTCCATTTGAACGGACCATGATATAAATTGATTTTCTCCTAAAACACATTTCTGAGACGTCTTTTTCCGAATCTCATATCAGGAAAGTATCTTACCAGGATGATATACCCTGCAAACAAGTTAACAGAATCACAAAAATGCCACATTCTGGCCAGACAGTTAAATCAGATGAGATGCGATACCGTTTGAAAAATTATATACATCTAAGTAGGTCATGAGGAAGTACTCACTCATCCACGCGCTGATGATGTTTTCTTGAATGGTGTCGAGACAACTTCAGACTAATTGTCCAGCTTGGCCAACCGATCATCGACCATGTAATCAATCGCCAAATAAGGAACCTCGTCAGATTTTAAGGGTAAAGCCATGTTTCATTAGACGCCGTTAATTTTTTTGTCTTAGACTCATTTTTTGGCATGTGGGTCCCTGAGAGGCAGGTATGGTGTGGCGTTGGGTTACGCGCACCAACTATTCTTAAGAAATGCGGTGATATTTCGGAGTTCAGTCTGCTTTTGTGCACCTTGTAGTGTCGAATAATGAAAATCACCATTCAGGAACCGAGTTTGTTGACAATTACTTATGCTACGCTCATGCTACGGGTAAGATATACTGAATGGGACTAATGAAACAGGTGGGTTCAGGTCGAACAGGTGAAGTTAGCTAATGAGTTTGCTGAGCGTGCCAACCTTTGTATTACTCCGCAGTTCAGTTACCGCTGCGTGCTTTGAACTTATCCCAGGTGGCGGCTTTCCGTAAAATAAACAAACAAAAGAACGTCACTTTGTACCGCTTGGCCTCAGGCTGGGCCTACCCTAGAAGATACTGCTTGTCTGATCTCACTAACTATTGAGTGACGCGCACTGGTTGGCGGGCTGACTAGCTTGGACGTTTTGCCGTCAGCGCCCTGTAAATTTCACGTGAATCTATTGGCTTTACAGATAACCGGCCGTTTGGAGATGTAGTGACTGAGAAATGCGCTCAAGGTAACGCTGGGCTGCTTCAGTGAAAGCATTTAGTCACCACACTCACATTAAGGAATCTTCATTTTCGAAATGCACTCATTTGCAAACAAATTTTATTTTTGCGAGACTCACCTGGAACCCCAGGTAAATCTCTAGGTTTGTGATGTTTTCAGGCAAGTGAATGTGCTGCACCGGGCAGCCTCATGTTCCAGTTGCAACGATATTCAAGATATCGCGATATATGTATATTCGTAATGCACTACTCTTTATTTTTACCTTTTCACTTTAAACAATTTATTGAGATGCCTTGTTTCTTCTAGGAAGACACCTTGTAGGGGATGCTGTGACATGGGTGGGGAATCACCTTAATTGCAAACTTGCTAGAACCAAACGACTCATCAATCAAAAACTGAAATTTATTTCCATCTTAGGACGAGATGACTGTGCTTTGTCTGAAATATTCATAAGCAACTCATCCATACGCATTTTCCCACGATTTTTTTTGTGAATGCGTCCGCGTCACTCATACAAAGTTCAGACAAGAAATAACGCAGACTAGCAAAACTGTTACCGATTTCACTGAACCAGCTTTTCGTCACATCACATCAGAGCTTTCCATGGGAACTTGTTGTCGTCAGGCGACGACCCCCGTCTTTCGCACTCAGACGAAAAAGTGTTACTGAATGTCAATTCTTTACCTTTGATCAACTAATGCCTTTCACTTGAACCCAGTATTCACAAAGCAGCCTGAAACAGCAGCTCAAGCAATTAAGTTTGTAGAATTATGCCATTATTCCAGTCCGGGGTGAGAAAAAAAAGTTTAATTAAGTTTCGATGAACAGAAACAAAAGAACTGTTTTTTGTGTGTGCGAACGAGTTCACTCCGATGGTGCACCGAAAACTCGGCTTCATCTATGTTGCAATGTGGAGTGTGGTTTGGTCGGCTTTTGAGAACACATTCACGGAAACAATTACGGGTGGAATAAGTCAATCAAATGTCGAAACAATTGAGATACGCACTTAGGTGGGCCTAGCTAATCCGTGCATGGAATATTCACTTTTCCGGACTGTTTCGGTCGGAAAGTTTGGATACCAGTGGGGATAATGCTGCGTTAATATAATTGAAGACGTAAAGTAAAAAGGAATACTGAAATTTGAACAAATCGCTTGACCAAACTCTTGAACCGCAATCACTATATTTTTGATCATCAGATGAGCCCATGTTTCATTTTTAAACGTCCCGTTAGTGCTGACAAGTAGGACCAATGAAGATATTTTATCGGCTTTTCGTCATTGGACATGGTTTGTTCATCGGAATTCCCCCAGTTTGGCTGACGAAGTATGTCGGGAATTCGATAAGAGTGGTTTTCCGAATTTATATAGCCCGAATCTCGCAGCTTAATTACAACTTCTGTTCTTAGGAAATGATCTGGCATCCTTGTGTTTTAATGAGCCCGCTAGATGTGAGATAAAGTATACCTTATGAAAATCCCTGTGTTTCTCATTGGTCTAGTTGAGTGAAATAAGCGTCTGCTTATACTTTGTTTATGGGTTCTCTACCTAGGTTAATGTTTGTGATGACGCACGGTGGATCCTGATGAACACATCAACCAGTGTTGCTAGCCTAACGAGATATCTCATTCCGTTCTGAGAGACTATATTGCTAATCTCTCATAGAGATTCACTGCTGTCTAGCAGCTGTGGTCACCTCAAAATGCGCACCGCATTCACAGTCGCCAATCCAGTCAACCCAGTTTTTCTCGTAAGCTGCTGACAGCATGCGACATCAATCGCATGGATTCAAGTGTGTACGTGCGCATAGGTGCGTGGATCACTTGACGGTGGAGGTTCGAAAACATTTGGGCTTGAGTTTAACTGACGAAAATCTAATCAGTTCGTGTACATAGTTAGCAATAACGGAAGCGTAACCGAATTTTCTCAAATAAGTTTGAGATTAGTGATAGCCTTGTATTTGTGTGCAAAACTGCGTTCAGTGAACAGATGTTTAGGGGATGTAGCACGGTTTTGAGGGCAATAAGCCATCTTTCTACTCTCTCCAAGTGGATACGCTAATTTAGCGTGTTGCCATACGTCTGTAATAAGTACAGCTGCAGACAGCTGTCTGGGTGAAAGCAATCCAATTATCCAACAGCTTGTTGCAAGTTACCTAGTAATCGGTGGAACATACTAACGGTGACGGTGGTAATTAATGATGCATATGTAAGAACAAAGCGTATGCAGTCATCCCTCTAAATTTTCCGCCATATGAAGACTACACCACTTTCTAGATCATTTTTCAGTCATCCACTTGACATAGGTTTAAGGGGATGGTCTTTTTATATGGAATGGATTTACTCTTGAGCCCACTCGGAAAGGTAAAGAAACCACAGGCAAAGTGCATAGGAAGACAGTGTATGTTAACTACCACTGTCACGAACAAGTAAAGAGACCAGCCGAGATAAAAACCACCTTCGGATGATTTTTTGAATACATTCCAGAGAACTACAAATTCTTTTTTGACCGGATTTTCCGCAGACCGGTTTTAGACATCGGCTCTTGAATATCATCCATACGAAACCTATAGAATAGACAGGCTGGCGATAAGTTAGAACAACTAGCTGAACCGAACAGTAGTTAGAAACGGGGATGTCTTAGAGGACGTTGTGATTTCACCTAGCGAAATCTTTCTGGCCAGCTTTTATTGGGGAATGTGATGCAAAGATGAATTCAGTTGTTTTCGTTAGGAAACACGAAGTCATGTAGTTAGTCAGTCAGCTAGTTAGTTAATTGGTTGGTTAGTTAGTCAGTTAGTCAGTTAGTCAGTTATTTATTCATTTATTTATTTAGTTAATCCTATCGAATAGATATTCAGATGCAGTCATCCAACCGGAATACAGTAAATCATTTGAACTCAAAACGAAAACTACCATTGCTGTGGAAAATCATGTGTAAACATGAACGCCTATCATAGTCCTCCCCGAAGAAATGACCTTTTGTGCTATGATAGCATTCGTTGTGGCCATGTGGCTAAGTGCGACCGAAGAATGGGTCAAAATGTCATCCTGTTGCTTGCACAAAAAGGATCGAAATTCGCCTACCTTTTTCGGAGTTGTTGTCGTAAAATAGTGGTGTTGCGCAACCGAGGAGTGCACTACATATGAGGTGAAAAAATGCTCAACATAATGAAAAAATGTAGTACATCTCCTGTAAAGGTTACATCTTCTGATTCTTTGGGAAATTTTCCGCCTAGTTTTGTTAGTGCAAACCAGAATTTCTGTCCGAAAAACTAACAGCAAGGCTGTTTTAATCTAAATCAGATTGGTATGCTCTTTCACAAACCTCAACAGCTGTGAGATGAGTAATAAACAGAAGTATATGCTTGCTGGATCCAGAGACGTCATATTAATTCCACACCTTATTTCCGTTCACCAAACCATTCTGATTTCCCGCACAACGTTTCAAAATATGCATCTATTTATCCTTGTATATTTATTTTACATGGTATGCCAAGCAAAAAATGGGTAAAAATCCTGTCGTTATTTCGGTTGCAGTTCCGTTTACAAAATACTTGAAAAAAAACACTGAAGTTTTCATTCCCCGTGAGAACACAAGCTTTGGGTAACCACAACTTGAAGTGGATTGAATTAAGCATAGTGGGATACTACGGAAGAACATTAAATTGAAGGTTGCTCAGCACGCTCCGTTTGAAGTGGGCTAAGCAAGATCATCCGCTACCACAAATATGCAGATTCAGTAACATTGTGATAAGAGAGGGGGCATGTGGCTGATACTCATAGGTTTACTTTATACTTTGAGTTGAATAATGGTGTCCAATAGCACTATTGAAATCACCAGACTGGTACTTTCATTATTATTGTGAAGAATTTGACTTGTGGCAATGTGACGTCTGGTGTCCAATATATTATTTATTGAATAAGGTAGTTTACAGTGTGTCGAACACAGATGGGTCACATAGCGGTATATATTGAACCACTTACAGTAAGCGAGAGGAATAAACGGAGAAACTTAAAATTTACTTTCATCTGGTCACTTTTCAACATGACAATAAATTTATTTTTTAAAGCGAAATCAACCTATTGCGGAATCATGCTTTAAGAAGCACAGTTCACACGAAAACTTCAAATAGTTTGTTGAGCAGAACATCAATAAAACATTCGGTAAATCTGAAGAGGGGAAACGTGTATCCATGAGCTGCGACACAACTGAGCGTTTTAGGGAGCACAAATCACCCAAATAGAAGCCTAGCTAAAGAAGAACCCTATTTGTTTCGTAGATTACATGCTCACTAGTGTTGGAGATTGGTCATTACAAAACTGTTTACTGGATGTTCCAAGTTTGGTTTCAAGTATATAAGCGTAGTGCTAACACTTTTTGTCATTTCTGGTCTGCAAGTGTAGGCTAAACCAGGAGAAATTAAATTTTCCTAGTGAGACCTATTGATTAATAGAGAAGTTTGGAAAGGTTTGACCAGTGGTTTTATAAAAAAAACATCAATTCGAAACTGCATTACCCATAAGATTCTTGGTTCCTCATCGACAACTTCTGCTCCATCAAGTTATTTCAGTAAATTATACAGAAGTCATGGGACTGTTTTAGTAAACCAAGGAAACGGTGCTGGCATCAGTTACCTATGTGTTTGCTGTGATTTTTGCCACAAATACGCACGAACGTTTTTTAATCACTACGAACCTCGGGGTTTACAAAAAATTCAAAAACATCGCCTTACCAGATACCGACACATTCTGAACTGGCTATACATATGTAGGTCAGCTTTTAGTTATTGGCCACTTCTAAGCTAACTCCTCAGTTTCACTGCATTACCTTTACAGCTTGTTCGGGCCTTCAAGCGGATATTTGTCTGTTTAGAACTCTCGCCTGATGCGTTCACTAATATTTAGATGTCCAGATAGCGTAAATCGGTTATTCGTCTGTTGAAGATTCTTACTCGGGAGCTCCACCAATGAGTTTAAAGTGCCAGTTTACTGTTCCTATATTCGCCAATTTCGTTGGAATATCGTAAATGCTTCCGTTGTAGCTGAGTCCAGCCTGTCTCTCATTTCAGACGGAGCTGAAATTCAGGCACGACGAAGGATATACGTCTGTAAAACTCCAATCCAATCCAGGTCCTTTCATGTGAACTGAGCTTGACACAAATTGCATATTAATCCTAAGGGCTGGATGGGAAACGACCGACAGTTGTCATCAGTAGTCCAGTAATACAAACCGCTCTCTCCTGCCAAATCGTTCATTTCACTTGTCCTCCATACCATTAGGCAATGGTAACCTTTCAGAAATGACACTGACGGATCGGTGCTGTCTATCTATGACTTTGATTCATTCAGGTAAAGCACGTATATTTACATAATACTGTCAACTTCAGTATGTGGCATGAAAAATTAAAAGGTGGTTATTTATAGTCAAAATGAGGGTCACCAAACCACTGTACATGTGATCTCGAAAAAATGTACAGCAAACGAACACAGTTGTGCGTCATTTACGATGTATTTAACACGACCATTTTTTTATTCTCCGTTCCACCACTATATATCTTCTAAAGTACTTTATCAATCTTGGGTGAATGTGGCTATTCACGTCATCCCTTTCCTTGCCAGTGGTTGCTGTGATGGGCTAATTTTTAAGTCAGATTAGGGCTAGTTAACAAAACCAGCTGATTTGTACTTTATCTTGTACATCTTTAGATTAACAATGCAATAAAATAGCTTTATTCATTCAAGTTTTAAGAAGGAGTAGGTAATTCATCCTGAAGACGAACCACATCAATGCCCACATAATTTTACTACCACTGAAATGAAAAAGGTCTCCGCTGCGGAGTTATTTATTAGAAAGTGTCAACTGAACAGTTACAGACTATTGGACATGGAAGCAAACCTCTCATATGCATCTTGTTTAAAAAACGGAATATCCATCTTCTCCTTGAACGCGTCTTCCTGAATTTTCCCGGATATTTATATACCGTTACTAAGTTGCAAGCAAATGCTATGGAGCAACTCCACAAATTCCCTAATACAGGGGATCTCATAATAAACGCAAAAAATAATATCCATGTTAAAACTTCAATATAGATTTAAACACTTATTATTATTTATATAAACATAATGGTTTGGAGGTTTACTGTAAATAAACTAACATTACAAAAAATGTTGAAAGAACCACCTTTTTCTTCTACAACAAGTTAGAGGCGGAATGAGATTTGAGACGCAGCATGTTTACTCACTCAGAAACTTTATTTATATATTTATCCATTTGCCGGAAAAATCCAATAAAATCCAGTGGACTCAAATTTCGCAATCGAGCGTGTATTGGTCTACACGGCGAACACATCTTTGATGAGGCAATGTTTGGTTTTGTAACCACTAAGTGCAGCAATGGTGCTTTCATCAGAGGAATAATAGAGTGTCAAAATTTCAATGCGCGTACTAACATTCGTGGTAAAAAAAACATGAAAACACTTGCGTACAAAACCTCCTTTATGTTACTACTAAAATAAAAAAAATTGTTATCTTTTTTTTAATTAACTAAGGTAACTTACCCAATCAAACTTTGCGTCTGTGATGAGACACTTTATAGAACTCACTTTTCAAGAGACGCAAAGCGGATTTACGAGAAAACACACTACTCACATGCCCCCCGTCATTGATATCAACGTTACACCACTAGGCCTCTCGCAAATACTGGACATGAAGTCGGCATTGTTACCCGTATTCCATTGATCACCAAAAATTCACTTGGCTTTTATTCTTTTTGATGTTGACGATGTTTTATTCCTATTTACACATCCCAAAAAATCACTGCAACAACGGGCATACTTGTTTTTTTAATTACTTCTTCGGGTTGCAAGGTGTTCCGGCCTTTGAGCTGCTAGAAGTGTCTTGGGAATGTATTCGGATACATAAAATTCCTGAGATCCTTTTCATGTACCCAATTGTCGAAATAGGTCGTCAATGAAGTCCTTGATACTGAGTAGCACTGTTTTGGTGCAAGCAATTTCCATAGTTTCGGATGTCAGGAAATAAACACACCAAAATTTCATCCGTTGATCACGTATATTATAAACAGAATGTTGGAAATAATTGTTCCAAATTTCGCTTGACAGTCCAACGTGGCATTTTCTGGTTTGTCCAACATCGATATCCATTCAATAAAAACGCATCAAACCTGAAGGGAGAATTTGTTTAGATGGAAATTGTTCGACCAATTTTGAGAAAGTAAATTTGAAGATTAATAATGTTATTATAAGTGGTTCAACAGCGTAGCACCATATCCGTGTAGATAATACGCACACAGTAGAAAGAGAGGAGGAGAAGACTTTACTGACACATAAGTTATTTCACCAGTTGGATTGGCCCCTGTTCGACCCATGGCTTTGTCTTCTTGTTCTGAGCAGATGTCGTTGGCGTAAACTGGTTCACTGGACAGCCAAAACGTGCTCCACCAGCCTGAAACAAGAAAGCGCCGACAGCAAATAGAAAGAAACTGGTGGTGCTGTGATTGTAAATGCATTATCTGCATGCTAGGAATTTCATGAAACTGTATAACGAGGACGACGCTTTGACCGACTTAGTTTACTTTTGTATCTAGTTGTCAGTTTCCCTAGAGCATTACGTGTGTGGTAAACACCTTTGATGCCACTGAAAAGACGAGAAAACTAGATAGCTGCTCAGGCACTCATAGGCTTGTTTTAAACATCAATTAGTCTAAATGCAATGACATAGCAGGGAATGCTAACACCAGTTGTGGGAGTGCTTTTTATTTGATAGGACAAGGAACCGAAAGCCTCCCATATATGTGAGGAAAGGCATTCATTAGGAATCACAACGGTTTATTACAAATGTTGCATTTTCCGCAACCGAACTGAAGACTACACCGTTTCCAGAATTTGGGACGTTTCCTAATTACAACCCTGCTTTTTTAGATTACCATAAGTAGTTTGTTTCGGAATGTCAATTTTGACAACTTTCCTCGGTGGCGCTTTTTATTTGATAGGACAAGGAACCGAAAGCCTCCCATATATGTGAGGAAAGGCATTCATTAGGAATCACAACGCTTTATTACAAATGTTGCATTTTCCGCAACCGAACTGAAGACTACACCGTTTCCAGAATTTGGGACGTTTCCTAATTACAACCCTGCTTTTTTAGATTACCATAAGTAGTTTGTTTCGGAATGTCAATTTTGACAACTTTTCCTCGGTGGCCTGATTACGCCGTGGATTACACTGGGTCCTAATATAGTTAATCTGCCAAGCTACCCAAGTTGTCCTGCTCAACCGCATGGAATCCGTTAACATATGAACCTGTCATTCTTACGAGGCTCACGTTTTTTGCCATCCAGTATTTAACGCAGCACATAAGCCCGTTGTGATCTATTCTTAGTTGCAGATAACTTGCTTTTCAAGGACAATACATTTTATGCTGACTAACTTCTCTATCAAGCGTTGGGTCAGTTGAAATGGGTAGCTGAGAATACAAAAATCCACAGGGTATCTTTTCTCACAAACATTCGGTGAAGCACTCGTCCGTGTATGTTGAACCTCCGATGGAGACTGATACAAGGGTAGCCTTTTTGGAAATACTGACAGATGATGCAGTCTTTACAACGTTTCCGTTCACCTCATCGACCGTGCGTTACTTTTCTAGAACCAGGTTTGATGCATTCCTTTTGTTTCAACCACTACCGTTCTGAAACTGTCTACCAGCCTGCCAGATTTTGTGGTGCTGTTGTATTTAATAAATTACGATCGATAGCCACTTAAACTCCCGTAATTTTGAGTGATCCAGTAAATATTTGATAGTAAACCGGGTTAGAAACAATGTAATTTTTCCAGTGACAGCTAAATTGTTGCTTGGAATAGTTCATGATCCGCGTTGTTGCTGGTATCATACATTTTTATGAAGGATTGTTCCAGATCCCTCTTCTATACAAAGGTGGGTGTGCGTCTGAGTGTATTTGATGCATCGCTGCCATAGTAAAGGTATTCCCAACACTGAACCCTGCGTATCAATGAAGATAAGCTAAGTCATCGCATTTGTGATGGATCGACTTTAGGAATTTAAATTCATGACTACAGGTCCAATGGACCCAATTATCTCCTCTCATGCCGGTTTTTTACCATCTGATTAGATGTCGATATCCTCTATGGGTTAAAGACTAACAGTTGGCCAAATGATTCTAGTGACAGTTAACAACTTTCAATTGTTCCTGCTGAGATGCTGAATGAGATATCTTGGATGTGGACACACCACAAAAAGATGCGAATGTCACGTTGACATTTAAAGCCGATGACCACAAACTTTGCATTGAAGGGACGTCACTCGTCCATTTATTCTTACAGCTTGGGGTCTCTCACTTTCTGGATAATTGGCGGAGAAGTTCGCTCTAAAAAGACGATCTTGAAAAGTCCCGCAAGCAGTCCAGTCAATCCCACCGCTTTCCTATTTTGCATCTGTCTATTGACTCGCAGCAGTCCTGAAAATGCAGATAAGTCAATTAATTATAAGTTTTCCATATTTTTTACGCAGATGGGCTGTATGACTGAACTCAACGTCCACTCGGTTGAGTAATGATGATAGGTATTTTTCTAAAATGTCGTAATTTTCTCAAGGTTGCAAAAAACTCCGCTGATTTGGCCGTGTTCTATCGGCTCAAGATATAGGACGTTTCGGTTACAGATTCACTTCACTCTGATACTAAGTCAATTGTGACAACTGCAGCTCCTAACTTCTTTTGATCTTTCATTATTTTTTTCTCACGGGTGTTTCTGGAGCTTAGGAGTTGCCTGTGTTTGTCGGGGCTCGAAATGCTTTTTTGAACGCCAAATTCATCAATTAAAACCAGGTGAACGCCGAACACTCACTCATTCAACCAATCCTGCCTCTTCCTTTGCGCTAGTCTTACCATCTTCACAGCTTGAGCTTGAATATGCGTTTCCTATCCGTGTTCACTTGGTCATCCGTCAGCTTCCGCATTAGTGTTTTGCGAAATTTGGTGGCCGAGCTTGAGTGAGTCCCCTGTTTTTTCATAATGTGAAAGTCTTCCAAATGCATCGGGTACATTGGTATGCATTAAAGGCGCATCTCTTTGCGCCTTTTTCGTGATGAGTGAACTACCGAAACCTACCTGTGCCGATACTCGCCTCAGGGATACGTTAAAGTGGCAGGAAATATCCCCAGCGAATTGAGCTATTCAGAGTTTTAGTGCTGTACACATCACCACAACACATCATCTACTTCTGCTGAGAACCCACAGCATTCCAAAAGAGTTTATAGTTTTCTTTCAGGTTTCTTACTTCTCACCAACTACGTCGTTGAAAAGGACCACCTAGAAGAAAATCCGTCTGGTATGAAAGGTATTCAGGTACAAAAGCTGATTATAGACTTCGTTCTTCTACTTATCAGAATGCTATATTTGAACGTGTCCTCAGCAGCTGGTTGATAATGCCCAAGTTGTCCACTTGTTCCTAATTTATTCGGTTTTTAGATCAGTTTCACACCGTTTTCATGTTCAATTTATTATGTGATTCCAATTTAGTAGCAGCTCCAACCAGGCCAGCCACTCTTGGCTATTCATGGTCAGCACCTCTGGTCTCACCGAATTTATCGAGCTGTATCCAGCAGTGCTTGCGTTTTTTTGCAACAAGGGCAGTTTGTCATATTCAAAAACGTCCTCAGGTTTCAGGTTCCGGGTTGCAGGTGACGATCCTTTCCTCTCTTACCATCAGCGTCCTTTGGCGGGAAGGGAAGCTTTTCGACTGTTACACTTGGAAACAATGGCTTGTTTCTAAAAATGTACGAATTTGAGTATCAGTTTGGCTTTGACGACAGAAGGCTTATCTAGCACTAAGCTGAATCTATCATTTATGAGTCTCGTGCACTTGCACAAGCCCACTGCTTTACTGATATCAAATACAGATTGTTCCCAAGCTTCCAGGGCTTCATTAGCTAAACATCTTCATATCCAAGAATTTAGCGTCGGAATCAATCGCTTGGCTGGCGTCATGTGGGTCTTCTGTGCATAAGCCTTCGCTCTAATACATGACTCAATGTAGTCAGTGTGACCTGTAGGT